CAGCTCCGCTCCCACCTCCTCTACTGTAAAGCGCTCCCGGCTGGACTTTACAAAGCAGGAAAGCGCCTTGCAGATGTTTGCAGCAGGAATCTTGTTGTTCTGGAAGCTTGTACTTGCAGTTCGGCGTACGGACTGTGACATGCGATATTGCCAAGAAGGAATAAAAAGTAAAATGCCTCCTCCCTCCCCCCCCCGCCATCCCCGAAAGGTTTTCGGCACTTACTAAGGTAGGCAGCCACACTGGATGCCATTATACCTGCTCACTGGCACCAGGTGGATCCTTCATCACAATTCCTCACTGAAGGTGCAGTATTACTTACACTGTAAGGTGTATCTTCATTTGGCTTTAGAAGGGTTAGCTTGAATCGACGTTAAAGCAATTCGTCCCTGAGCGAAGTACAGTCTGACTCTTTTTAGTCCTATTTTAGGACAGAGTAGAAGACTTGTTATAGGAACATCGCAGTGTCTTCTTGCTCTGTAACAGGATAGAAAAAGCCTGCACGCAGTTTTAGCATTTATTTATGAGAAATATGATGTGACGATAAGACAACAGTTGCATCTCAAGAGTAGCTGAAACTTCTGACAGCTTGAACACGAGCATTTGAATAGCACAGGCTTAAGAAATGTTGCATGTCAGAATTCTGAGGAAAAACACAGAAAATCTTCTACATTACAGGTTCGTTGACTGGACATGCTATGCATAATGCAAAGTATGACATAGATGCTTAAAATCCTAGAAGTCATTTGGATTTGTCAATAAGAGGAAATTAGTCAGTTGAATTATCCCAGTGTAACTCAAAATGTACATAACACTATGTATTTCTAAATTTCTTTGGTGTGGAAAGGGTTTAAATTAAATGAAGCTGTCCTTTTTTGGAATGAGACCGATCAGACAAATTTGTAACTTACGTTGATAAACTGTATTGTGTAAACATGCACAATAGTAACAGATAGAAAATTGGTCTTCTAGACTAAGGGATTAGCAAAAAATTTAAGTGAGCAGGTTTAGCCTCTTTCCCTTTTAGAATTAAAAGGATATTGTCTCATTTTGCACAGGAAAATTTTATAATGTAGTGGAGAGCTGAGTTCACTGAGAATATAAAGTTAGTTCTTGCCATTGAAAAAAAAAGTCAACCCGAAGCAAACCCCAAACCTCAAACAACTATTTAAAGCCAAACAAAAGCAAAACTGGTATATAAAGCATAGAAACATTCTACTTATTTTAATGGTTAACCTGTGTTCTGTGCTGTTCTGAAAGCCCTCTTTAATTTTCATATGTGACAATATCCTAAAACCAAGTAGTGTTGATACAAATAAAAAAAAAAGTCTTTATTATTTTTTTGTACAGAGTTCTTGAGGATTTGCATTAGTATACCTGAGAACAGAGCAGGAATGGTAATAACTGTTTAATTGCTGCTAAATATGAGGTTCTCCTCCAAGAGCACCTTTTGCCACGAGTTTGTATGAGTGAGTCGTTGCCTGAGCTACTACTCCACTGAATTGCTGGCAGTTCGAACTGACTGTAAAGCAAACCCTTTCCATTAAAGAGCTCTTTAAATACGTCACTATATATATTGTCAATTGGGACTGCCCTAGCGCGCGTAGTTATTTGCAGGCTCAGATGTTATAAGACAGCAGAACAAAGGCGCACAAATAAGCATATCTGAAGTGCCATGAAGTGTGAGGTAAATACTCTCTTTGCTGTACAACAGATCATTTCGTTGTTGTTCACTGTAGCTGTGGAACCGCGGGTGTTCCCTCACAGCACCCAGGGCTTTCACCCTGAGTTACCAGGCGCGGCTTCTGCGCGTCTCCTGAGACTCTCTTACTCCAGATTATTCCTCTTGATCTGGAAAACGCACAGAATTACTCAGGGTCGGCGTGACAGATCGCTATGCGAGGCTGAACGAGCCGAACTCCCACTCTCCCACTTCCAGGTGGGATGGACGGCGCCTCGCCTTCGCCGGCCCGGAACGTTTGGAGGCCGGAACCTTCGGGCCGCCTGGCGGGGAAAAGGCGTGGGGAAGGAAAAGGAGTAGGCGCGGCGCTGCCATTGCGCAGGTTCCATTC